TCTGCTAGTCACACTGCCTCGAGTACAACATCGGATGCGAAGTGCTGCTCCGCATATCCCTTGTGTTCAGAACCATGCGAGGGGTTGGTACCACAAACGCGGAGTTGGTAACTTCCAGAATCGGCGGCAAGTAGTTTCCCTCGGTGGTTGCTCAAGCAAGGAATCTCAGCTGCGTAGATATCCCACGCTGATGGGTTAGGATACTTGGGAATATTAGGGGTATTCCCAAATAATCCTCTCCCATTTCCAGATGAGCATTGCTGACAGTCAATCCAGTATGACCTTATGCACTTCCAGTTTAGCACGGAGGCCATCGGTAGGCATCGGTATCTGGGCGCACATATTGGGATAGGTCTTCTGGTGCCATCATGTGTTGTCTTATTCTGCCACTATCCTTGAAGTAGCGTTGCAGTCGAAAACGTCTCAGCTACTCAGCATCAGTGTTGAAGTCTGCTCCATTTCGGCAAACAGGGGTGTTGTTGGAGATACGCGGAGTCCACTATCCGGAATGGCGTCGGCGCTCCATTTCACGCCTATCTGCTTCCGTGGAGTTGGTGCTGCTGATGGATTGGTTGTGACGCAGGTTTTATGACTTTAAGGAAAGCCATAGGCCATGAGGACTTGTATACCGGTACAGTACCGCAGTCCTCCCATTCTCATAAGAGCAAATATCTCCTGCTCTTGAGGGTACATGGCATTGCCATAGCTCTTGTTTCCTCGCATAGTGGTATCTCCTCCCCACTAGCTGGAAATCATAGTATTGTGCCTGGCCGGGACTTTACGATCCACTGGAATATAATCCAGCATTATCTCCATTGAGCGGAGAATCATCCATCAGGGTTTGGATATGACTGTTGTGTCGAGTATTCTGCTGCGGCGGCGGCGGCGGTTGCGACGATGGCGACGGCGGCAGCTGCTGCAGAGAATTCTCTTAACTCGTACCGGTTGAAGGAGAATCCATCAACTCCCTCTTCCCAGTAGAGTGTTCTTGATGGGTGTAACAGGCGTAACTACCAGGAACATGTGCACATTGGTACACATGTGTTGCTCCATTGCTGCCGGTGATGGTTTCATTTGAGGGTATGAAGAGAAATTTGCTTCTCCCCTCAATGTATCCACGGGGAGCAATTCCTGGTATGCTCATCCGTGCCTCCGATGTACGATCGGTAGAGTGCGTGATCGTGTTGTAGTAGTCCGCATCTCCCTGATTTGTTGACACCTCGTGTTGCTTGGCATTCTCCTGCATCGTCGAAGTTACGCAGATGCTTGCAACGCTTCGGCTTCTAGTAGAATCGCCTCCAATGCATGTGCCGTAGGGTCGCTAGTGAACGAGTACTTGCCGGATTAGAGGTTAATTACTCCTCAATCTGTCAAGCATCGTGACGTGCACGGAATTTTCTTCCACGCAGGTCATTAACACCTGGAATCGCGACGCATGATTGGTGTGTCGCCTCATAAGGTCGATGTTGATACTGCCCCAATCAATCACTTCGGATGGCTGAGATTCTTGATGAAGACGAATCGTTCAGCTCCTGTTACGAAGTAGTGTCCCGCTGGCCTTGACGAGACGGGTTCTCTGCGTCGTCGTTGCGTGCGAAATCTGCTCCTTCGCAGCAACTTGAACTTGGGAGCATTGCAAGAGAAAACGGCTACTTCTCTGCAATCCCATAGGTTGTCGATCAAATTTATGAGATCCGCTGCTCCATTGTTTTTCCTGGGTGAAGATCTGCTGTGTTGATGCCGATCCATTTTTTAACGAAGATGACTTCGTCAAAATAAATCGATCGTTGTCGACACTTGTCAGAAGATTCTTCGATTGTGCAGTCGCTGGTCACGAATGTTGTCTCCATGATGATGTTTTCCTCATAGTGTAGTCTCTGCTGCATTCGTGCCGTTGATTCCGCAACGATCCGACGATCCACGTTCTCCTGTCATTTTTCTGCATGCAGATATTACCAACAAGGTAATACTCTGGCAGGTTTCTGACTCTGCAGATGATTTGCGCACCATATTCGTCACCAAATAGAGGAGTCCGAATTTGGTTGTCCAAATGTTGTCGACGATATCGAAGGCGGCTAATTTCTGGTTCTGCGCGTCATTCTCCCTTGATGCAGAAATCGCGCTCCATCTCGTCCGTGGAAGTAGTCGTTGATCCGACGGTCCAAACTCCAAGCGATCTGAAGAAATTCCTGAGACGCGTTCAGCAGCTTTCGGCGCACGGATCACCTCGTTTCCTACAGCAATTCTCGGTCGTCGATGTCGGCTGTCGAACGATCGGACGCTCCGAAGAACTTCGCGGCTTGCGAGGTCCCGTTCCCATTCGCGCCGAAACGCAAACTCGCTCAGATGGATTTCGTTTTCGTCTCGGTCGATCTGAAGCGTCGAATCTCCATCGGACGGATGTCGTCGGTCGCAGCTCCGCACATTTCCGCGCAACTCCAAGTGTCGTCGCGAACTGCGAACTCCTCGGAATGTCGCAGGGAGTGTTCCGCCAGAACTGACGCGTTCGCCAGGTCGAGGCCCTTTGCCCCCGCGAAAAATCGGCACCGTCGATGCAATCCATCGAACGGTTGGCGAGGCATCTCGCCTTCGAGGGGACCCCAGGTGCAACTGCGCGAGGTGAGTCGAAACTTAATATGAAAGAGCATTGTACTTACAGGAATTGAAGTTTCGACTCCATCCTCCGCGTGCTCCTGGGGGCCCAGCGGTTAACCGTTGATCTGAAACCTTGGCTCTGATACCAAGTGTCACAGGATTGAATGTCCCGAGGAAAGGTTTGCTCAATGTTGCACTATCAATCAGTACAAGGGGCTTTTATACTTCCAGATTACATCAGGTAACCAGGTTTATCCTATCCAAAGGGAATAGACCCTTCTAGAAATAGAATCACCATGCGTATAGCTACGCGAGGCTATTGGCTTTAAGGGATTACGACAGGATTACGCTAGATATAGCGCGCCAGTACATCCCGAGCCTGGTCGGTGATATAATTATAATAACAGGATAAACCAAAGGATAATGGAAAATGAGGAACAGGAAACCAAATGAGATGAGATAAAGACCAAATGAAGCAGGAGTGAAAGAGGAATGAAATAGAAATGAAATATGGAAAGGGGAAATTGGTGTAACGGTGTCGTACTCTCACAGATTCTATGTGTGCCATGCAACTGACGATGTTATGTAAGCCGAGTGCATGTCGCGGCACATGTGCAGGCGAACACTGCTGGGTCGACGCAACTTGACTGTGGACAGTCTTAGTTGTCGAGGCATCTGCTGCTATTGTCTAGGATAGTTAACTCCAGAATGGCCTCACGTATGACAGAGGTGTCAGTACAGAGGTACGCCATGCCTTTGAGTTTGGCCGGGTTGGCATCCGTGTGTATAAAACGCAATATGCTGACTACGTTATCATGTTGTTTGGCATGAAGCTCGGCGCAGAGGTGCATCTCCGAGTTTCTCCCGTGGGCTGGAAAAAGACCACCGAGGGCCAAGACCAGCAAGGACCACTGCCATAAATGAATCATCTGATAAGTTCCCTCCGCTGCATATGAGTCTGTCCGTACTCCTCTACCGCGATTCATGTAGGCCATAGCTTTTTCTCCATGCAGCATTGGAACTGTTATCAGCCGTGCGATGAGTCGACTCTACGTTGCGATGTCCGACGTCTGGCATACGCTCTTGAGGTGGCAGTATGCCAGCTCGGCGGAGTTCTCACTGTGAGAGTACGACCCCGTTACACCACTTGTCTCTTTCCTTATTTCCTTCCTCTTTCATTTCTCTTTTTATCTCATCTCATTTGGTTTCCTATTCTCCATTTTTCCGTTAACCTTTGGTTTATCCTGCTATTATAATTATATCACCGACCAGGCTTGGGATGTACATGTGCGCTATCTGGCGTAATCCTGCCGTAATCCCTTAAAGCCAATAGCCTCGCGTGGCTATACGCAGGGTGATTCTATCTTCTAGAAGGGTCCATTCCCTTAGGATAGGATAAACCTGGTTACCGGATGTACTCTGGAAGTATAAAAGCGCCTTGTACTGATCGATAGTGCAACCTTTCCTCGAGTCATTCGATCCTGTAACACTTGGTAATCAGAGCTTTTCTCACTCGGCCGCGCTCAGCTAAGCAGCAGCAGCGGGGATCCTGCCTCGAAAAAGCGCCGGGGGCGACCAATTCGACGCCGATTCTGGTAAGTACCAGCTCCGCGTTTTTCCGAATTACCCCCTCCGCGCGTGTTTTTGAATAGGATGGCGAACCTCGACAACGCTGAGGTTACCCAGCAGCTCTTCGCGCCCATCGCAGCCCTTCAGGAGGAGATGCGAGCGGACCGCGAAGCGTGGCGAAACGATTTCGAGCGAGTAACTCGACTCGCCGGAGCGCAGCACGATTGGACAACGGTGACGACGCAGCAGTCGCAGCAGTTTCTCGAGGCTCCGAAACCGCGCCCACCTGAGCCGTTGGATCCGAGCGATCGAAACTCCGACGTCCGCAGATGGATCGCCGGCATGGAGATCTACTTCGCAGCCGTCGGATGGAGCTCGCCAGGCTGGGACGGTCAACGCGTACGACTCGCGGCGACACTGATGCGAGGGCCGGCACTCGAGTGGATTGGCGGCAACAGTACCTTCATCCACAGTGAAGCCACGTGGTAGCAGTTCCGCGCCGACTTGCTGAAACGATTCGACCCAAAAATTCGAGTTCCCTTGCCCGGGGAAAAATTCATCGACACCGACAGTTCGGGAGTGTAGCATAGTACACACAGCAGATGGAGGAATTTTATAACCGCATTCCCGACCTGACCGAAGGGGAAAAAGTACAGTCATACCTCGCCGGGCTGAAGACCGAAGTCAAACGACAAGTGGCAGCGTCAAACTACGCAAGCTACAGTGACGTCGTTTCGGCCGCGGAGCGCTTCGACATGGTCAACGCGGGGACACGACGGACGCACGTCGGCAGTACGCGACAGGGCGACCGCTCAGCTCACCCCACGTTCGCCGACCCGATGGAAGTCGACAGATTCGAGGGGCGGCCACGTCCGAAGAAGAACACGCCCTACAAATGGGAATCGAAGCACCAGGAAGCCGTGGAGCAGCTGAAACAAGCACTCACGATCGCCCCGGTACTCATCTTGCCAGATCCCGAACACGACTACGTAATCGAAGCTGACGCCAGCGACCAGGCAGTGGGAGCAGTCTTAATGCAAGACCAGGGGAATGGACTGCAACTAATCGCCTACCTCAGCAAGAAACTACATGGAGCAGAACTAAACTACCCGATACACGACAAAGAGGCCCTTGCCATTGTCATCGCTTTCAAAGCATGGAGATGTTATCTCGAAGGACGGCGAACAACTGTCTACACCGACCACTGCAGCCTGAAATACTTGAAGACACAACCCAAACTTTCCAGGCGGCAGGTCCGGTGGATCGATTTCCTCGAGACACACTTCCACTACGATATTGTGTACAAGCCCGGCCACAAAAACAAAGCAGACGCTCTCAGCCGGCCTGCGCACGTTGCCGCTATTCAAATTGAAGGGATGAATCCACTACTCAAGGGACTCTTCACACACGGGTACGCCATCGACCCAGAAATCCCCTTGGCTGGAAAATGACATCTGCTATAGTGGGACAGTGACATCGCGTACCGGAAAGGATCAGCGAAAATCTGGGTACCCAATTACCCTCCTTTGCGCCAGTTACTACTCGAAGAATACCACGACGTCCTATACGCGGGACACTTCGGTAGCAACAAGACGCTCACCGGTATCGCCAAACACTACTACTGGCCCCACATGGCAGATGACGTACAGAAATTCATCACCTCGTGTAATACATGTCAGCGGATGAAGAGCAGCAAGCAGAAAAAGGCGGGACTTCTGCAGCCTCTTCCTGTCCCAGAACAACCATGGCAAGTGGTTAGCCTGGACTTCATCACCGGGTTACCACCTACCACTAGTGGTCACGACGCAATCCTTGTCGTCATCGACAAGTTCTCCAAAATGGGACACTTCATCCCGACACACACGACGGCACGCACCGAGGAGACAGCACAACTCTTCGTTCGTCACATCATCTCACAGCATGGCATCCCAACGACACTCATCTCCGACTGAGACCCCAAGTTCACCAGCAAGTTCTGGAAGGAACTTATGTCTCTACTCGGGACCAAACTCGCCATGTCATCCGCTTACCATCCGCAGACAGACGGACAAACCGAGCGCCTCAACCAAATTGTTGAACAACTCCTCCGAGCAGCCTGCAAAGGCAAGATATCCAAATGGGACCTGCACCTGCCCGTTCTGGAGTTTGCTTACAAAAACGCTACACATGCCGCTACTGGACAGACGCTGTTCTTCCTCTGCTACGGACGCCACCCACTCACACCACAGAAACCGACCACATCCGCTACAGTACAACCTGCACATGATTTCATCACAACCATGCATCAGCTTTGGGATCGGACCCACAAGCGCCTCCTCGACATTCAGCAGCAACAAAAGCGCCAGGCCGATCGCCATCGCAACGACCACACCATCACAGTGGGAGACCAGGTGCTTCTTGACACCCGCAACCTGGACATCAGCCACCTCCCGTCTAAACTGCGACCTCGCTTCTGCGGGCCTTTTCTCGTCGAAGCACAGGTTACTCCTGTTACCTTCCGCTTGCGTCTGCCAGCCACCTGGAAGATTCACAACGCCTTCCATGTCCAACTTCTGAAGCCCTATCGGGATCCGAACACGATCTTCGTCGGACGCCAACCGCCGCCGCCGCCACTCGTCCTCGTCCAGAATGAACCCGAGTACGAGGTCGAGTCCGTGCTTGCACACCGTCGACGTCGGAATGGCACCGTGGAGCTTCTCATCCGTTGGAAGGGTTATGATCCTTCTGAGGACAGCTGGGTACCTGAGTCCGACATGGGTAACGCCCGTCGTCCTCTGTATGACTACCTTGTCAAGCAGGGTGTTACTTCTACCACCCAGCTTTGAGGGGGGGAAGTGTGAGAGTACGACCCTGTTACACCACTTGTCCCTTTCCTTATTTCCTTCCTATTTCATTTCTCTTTTTATCTCATCTCATTTGGTTTCCTATTCTCCATTTTTCCGTTAACCTTTGGTTTATCCTGCTATTATTATTATATCACCGACCAGGCTTGGGATGTACTGGTGCGCTATCTGGCGTAATCCTGCCGTAATCCCTTAAAGCCAATAGCCTCGCGTGGCTATACGCAGGGTGATTCTATCTTCTAGAAGGGTCTATTCCCTTAGGATAGGATAAAACTGGTTACCGGATGTACTCTGGAAGTATAAAAGCGCCTTGTACTGATCGATAGTGCAACCTTTCCTCGAGTCATTCGATCTTGTGACACTCATAACCTCACCATTTCCTGTTCTCATGGTAACAGATTTCGAAGAAGGGTTGTATACGCCATCTGGGACTGATACGTATAAATCTCTTTCTCTTTCGTAGTGTCATGGCCTAGATACTTGTTGGGAACCGTGAAGAGGTAGATGATCTGAGCTCCTTCTATCATGAGCTCAAATTCGAAGCTCTTGGTATAGAAGTCCTTTCCATTGAATGGAAAAGACGTCTATTGCTTGAAGATGTTGCCGAACTATGCTTGCATCTGCAAAATCTCATTAGGTTTGCTGCGCGGTGCAGATGGTGCCTCGGGCTCTCGAGCATGCAGGAAGCTGAAGAAGTATGGCGACAATTTTTGAGGTGGGTATTGAACGGGTTGCTCATTGCCTCTTGCAAATGATGACCCATCGAGGAGCATGGTTGCCATGCCAGTAATGACGCCATTTTTGTTATTGTAGTTTGCTAACTAAGCATGTGCTGAAGGGTGCTCATAGAGTGACATGAAGGAGAAGAGTTTCTCTGCGAATATCGAATCAATACAAGAAGGGGGAGCCACTTGACTTGTGGGTGCCCCAATTGTTGTGTCTTCAGTTGCAGCCTTCTCTGTTTGCAACTCAGGGATTGGGGGTGCAGATGCTTTGATGCCAAGGGATTAAGAGGAGGACCCCACATCCTTAGTTGGTGCCGTAACTCTGTTTTGTTCAGCTTGATCATCAAAGAGGTTCATGAGCAAGTGTCTAGTCACAGCAGCATCAGATACTCCCCCGATGGAGTTAGTAACGGGAACCTCGTCCGTCACGACGGGACTATGAGAGGGGTAGGATAAACTGGTGTGCTACTCAAACAAACCGGACAGAGTTTGCCAGCGTGATTGAGTCCACGCTAGCATCGCCCGGTTGGACATATTTTTCGGTAGTCCTTGCCTTGGGCATATACGGGTTTTCATTCCCGTCTTCGTCGAATGAGTGCGTGCGTTTTGGGTTTCTTCAAATTTGCATGAGTACAGTTTTTCGCTAGGTTCGCAGGTGTGCGCAGGCCGTTAAGGCATGTTTGGGTTGCAGATGGGGTCCGAAGCCAAATGCAGTTAAACAGTAGGTTCCGAGTTGGATCCAACATTTTTCGGATCCAGCAAAGTAGGAATACGCCCTTAGCAAGGAGGGCGGATGAGACCTTAGCAGATGTGAGGTCCGCAGGAGCAAGTCCCAAGAGCATCTTGCGTGTGACTTCGTATTCCGGAGTGAGGCCGACTAAGAGAGCGGCTGCAGGGGCTTGCTCGGGGAAGACTATCCCCAACTGCTTGAGTTCACCATGAATGGACAACACCTTGGTAACATGGTCCGCCATGCCTGGCGAGTCCTCGAGCCGCACTTGGAACATGCTGGGGATGAGTATAGCAACTCCCACTGCAGTCTTGTTCAGCGGTCTTCGAGGTAGAGCCAAATGGCGTTGGCAAACGGGTAATCGTGGTAGGTTTCGACGAGTTCGGGAGGAGTGGTGCCCATGAAGACACTAATGACTGCACCATCGGCCTTCTCCCAATTCTTGTACTTGAGCAGTGCAGCAGCATAAACTGCTTCGGCGGTGGCATTAGCTGGATCGGCAGACCTCTCGGGTTTAGGAGGCTCTTTGCCGTCACCGATGTTGAGAAAGACATCGGTGAGCTCGAGCCCCTTCACCTTGCGACTGAGGAGGTGCTTGTCGACACCATAGCGCCAAGCCTTGTAGTTGGAGCATGTACTGTCCGGCTCGAGACAAAGGAGCGGGATCGGGTTGGCAAGTGAAGTGGTTGAGTAAGCCATTGCCCCTTGATTTTTGCGAAGCGACGCTCTTAAGTGACCGATAAGAACTTCGGTGTGCAGCGCGGCACTTGTGGAAATCGGTCGACGAGAATAGCTGAAAATCACTCTGACAGCTTCATTGAAATGCCGCTAAGAAGGAAATGGGGTCGGCGAAATTTCATAAAATCGCCGAACCCACACACCCCAGGCCCTGTCCTGCAGCTACACAGCTCTGCAACCAGCTCCGCTCTGCTTCCACCTGTGTACCTGCTCTTGCTTCACGCGAGACGTTTGTGGATGCGATTTTGCGATGGGAGTTCGCCTATTCTGGCGGGGTCTGAGGGGAAACTCGAGAGCGAGTTTTAAGATATGGTCGAAATTGAGATTCAACCAAGAGGAACCAAGCAGGAAATCGACGATGAGAAGCGTGAAAGCTTCCGAGATGAGAATTTCAACGAGGTTGAGTGCGAAGGCGGTCGACGAGGCGCGTTTGCAGAGTGGAGCACGTCGAAATTCCGACGACTCGAAACGAATGTCGCGACGATGAAGTGTGCGTAGGGCGGGCATGTTAAGATTAGGACCTTGATCCGCGTGTGTAGATAGGTCGCTCTGATACCATGTAAGAAATAGAGTTGAAATCATTAATTAAGTAAGGAGCCCAAGGTTGTATAAGTATATGGAAAGGTGAGAGAGAATGGATGAAGGAGTGGATTATCAGCGCGGATCAGACCTTGCTATGGCTGGAGATGCTGGCACAAAGGACTATAAAAGAAATCGGCATGAATTCAGTACCGATTCATTGCGCCGGCTACCAGAAAGAATGTGTCACGGTGATGTTGGCATGCACTGCAGCGGGGGAAAAACTGAAGCCATGGGTGTTCTTCAAGCGTATCAAGCCGCCTCAGGGGGACTTTCCAAGAGGTGGGTGTATGTTTATGGCGGTGCACGTGCCAACATTTCTTGACGCGTGCAATTTGTGAATGTGTTAACCTGCCCATCCCGCCGAACTACACTGAGGGAAAAAACCGTCCGGATGTTTGGCAATAAGTTGGGTTTTTAGGCTTTGAGACTACTGTATGGTAAACCTGCAAGATGCACGGTGGTACATGTTGGGAGAGGCACAAAGTGGATGCGTTCACAGCACTAAGAACTAGAATAGTACATTGGATCTAACTCATACTCCAAAAGATATACAACGAGTACATCCGGACAGTTTTTTCCCAGGACAAAGAGCAAACTTCCGAACAACGTTTCTAGTACCTAGTCCACCTACTCTTGGCGTTGATCACCATCCACACCCTCCTAGGCATGTTATCTATGTGGTTAGTGCAGACCTTTGCATGAAGCTTCTTGCACTCTTCCTTGACCCACCATTTTGCATAAGGGGGTGAGCACAAGGAAAATTGCGAAGTATTTGAGTGTATGCATAAGTATTGTGCACGAATTCAGATTGAATGTAATCTCTGAGACTAGCCAAGCCGAGGGGTGTCCAAAGATGCCATTACTTGAATGGTCCCGGCTTATCATGGGTTGTTTTCGTCGAATCAGAGTAGGGTGAAATCACGTATAGAGTGGCAAAATCTAGCATACCCGCCACGAAACTTAGGGTAACCGAGCACGGTCGATTGAGCATCCTTTCATTGTTAGAATCATGTTAAAATCCGCGAGTCTAGTGACAGTGCATCAGTTGAAGAAGTCTCGACTGTTTGGGAAGAATATCAGGGTTGAGGTCTGGTGAGGAAGAGGGGCACTCCAGAGCTACATATCCATGCTCTCCGAGCCATTCCAAGCCTAGGCAGGGAAAATGACATGGAATGCCTTGGAGAGCATAAGTATGTTGCGCTGGAGTGACCCTTTTTCTCACCAGACCTCAATCCAGATATTCTTCCCAAACAGTCGAGGTTTCTTCGACTGCTGCCCCGTCACTAGACCCGCGGATTTTAACATGGTTCACACAGTGAAAGGATGTTCAGTCGACCGTGCTCTGTTACCCTAAGATTCGTGGCGGGAATGCTAGATTTTGCCACTCTATTCGTGATTTTACCCTAGAACGATACGACGAAGACGACCCATGATAAGCCGGGACCATTTAACTAATGGCATCTTTGGCCACCCCTCGGCTTGGCTAGTCTCTGAGATAACATTCATTCAGAATTTGTGTACAATACTTATGCATACGCTCAAATACTTTGCAATTTTCCTTGTGCTCACCCCCTTATGCAAAATGGTGGGTCCAGGAAGAGTGCGAGAAGCTTCATGCAAAGGTCTGCACTAACCCCATAGATAACATGCCTAGGAGGGTGCGGATGGTGATCAACGCCAAGAGTAGGTGGACTAGGTACTAGAAACGTTGTTCGGAAGTTTGCTCTTTGTCCTGGGAAAAAACTGTCCGGATGTACTCGTTGTATATCTTTTGGAATATGAGTTGGATCCAATGTACTATTCTAGTTCTTAGTGCTGTGAACGCATCCACTTTGTGCCTCTCCCAACGCGTACCACCATGCATCTTGCAGGTTTACCATACAGTAGTCTTAAAGCCTAAAAACCCAACTTCGTGCCAAACATCCGGACGGTTTTTTCCCTCAGTGTAACTCCTACTTGTGTTTGTG